CTGCTCAATGCGGGCGCGCAGACGCTCCACGATGGCGTTGTGCAGCTGGGGGTCCGCGGAGCCTCCTCTGGAGGTGGCCACCATCGGTCCGTTGCCGACCACCCCGCCGGGCATGGCTCCTAACCCGACGCCCAGCATGGGCACGAAGGTCCCTGCAGCAGCACCAGCAGCAGACTGAGCGGGAGTCGCCTCTCCCATGCCCGCTGGTCCCTCACAAGTTTAGAAAAGCTGAGGTCCTCTCAGCCAGAGCAAGAAAACAATGTGTAAGGGATTTAACTAGAATTCCATGTGGAAAAACTGAAATGCTGGCCTATTTATTTTGGATATTAGTTTAAATTGACAGTTCCCATATGAAAACACCAAACATTTAGGTAAGAAAATTTCCAAAGTACTGTCCTCATGTGCCTAAATACAGAGGAAAAAGTCCCAAAGTTACAGCATCCTACTCTTTCGGGGTAAAATGTTTTCCGAACATGAGGAGTCGTGGGGGTCACAACTGGAATGAATCTTCTCTTCCTTAACGACGCGACCTCTGCTCAGAGACAAACAGGCTGCATTCAACGCGAATCCCTCCGATGATTCAAAACCATGGCACGCACAACTTCACTCCCACCGTCCGTGCTACATTTTCAGCCCGTGTGTGTGTTACACCCGTTGCATAGCCGAAAGAGTGCGACCGTCAGAGGAGCCGAGAATATGGGAGTGAGCGGTTCGTTCCCAGAGCGAGAGAAGCAAGCACATAAAGACACCGAATCCACAAAACTTCAAGACTCACGGCATTGTTGTTTGGAAATTAGTCCTTTCTCTCTTTGTTTGTCCATCTCCATCCAGAGAGGAATTTGATCGCAAAGCAAGAGGGGGGGGAAACACAGGAGGTCGAAACGCGTGGAGCCGCTAGAGTAACCGATTGAGATTCGTCTCTATAGTCCATTGACAATCATTTGTCCGTGTGGTAGACCGAGGCAATACCAGAGCTACTATACACAGACCCTCATTGTATGAACATTCCTCTTCTGACATGGTGCACTCTTACGGATGAAGCCGGGCGTGAATGCACTCTAGTGGAGGATTGGAGAATTATCCTTCAAGGAAAGCGCCATGGCAGAGGGGAATTAATCTCATTCATGTTCCTCAAACATAACTAATTCAGTAGCTGATGAAAAAGTTCAGCTCCATGAGAAATCGTCTTGGGTTTCTGCTGTTAACTAGATGGTGTTTTTTTCTTACTTTCTGATAGTTCCAAACAAAGCAGAGAATAATTATTAAGTAGACACAAAAGGATACAAATAAAATCTAAAAAAGTGTGGCATGCTTATGTATTCAGCCCTCTCTATTCTTATATCATTAAATAAAAGTCAGTGCAATCAACTTTCTTCAGCAGACAAAAAAAGCTAAAAGAGTCCATCTCTGTGTTTTGATTTCTGCTGTGAAAACTACATTCTAGCAACATTTTATACCAAAGAGGAATCAGCAAGAAAAAAACTAAAAAAAGAACAGTTATTTAATTTTTATGTGGAATGTAACTCAAACTTATTCATGAAAAATCAATAGAATTACATGTTTTATTGGATATACTTTTAAATATATCCAAAAAACTCAAAAGAAAATGCAATTTCAGAAGCTGAAATATATAGACCTAGAGCTACTTGACAAGCAATTGGCTGGCGTTCGCAAGGCAAAAATCCCAGAGCATCATTCATTTTATTTGGTGTGTTTGGTTGTAACACCAAAAGCAGATATTAGGAAGACTGTGGATATCAGTTTCTGGTATTTGGTGTTTGAACTATTAAAATACTCAAGTCATATGAGTATTTGTCTCTTACCAGTAGTTTTGTTTTGTTTCAGCTGTAGTCCCTAACCCCTGTGAATCCTGGGTAAATGATGAATTAACTGGGAATTAACCTCCAAAAGCAAAACATGTATCAGTCTGTAAAGGCTACAAAGGGTCAAAGGCATCCTTAAGGTTTTGGGAGTTCAGTGAACCACAACCAGAGCCATCAACCACAAATTAAGAAAATTTGAGTTAGTGCTTAACTTTCCCATGAGTGAAGAGGCAAGTCGTTTTTCAAAGAACTGTAAATGAGCGCGTTTTGTAGGGATCTTAGTGAACATGGGTGGATATAAACATCATCATGAATGCCAAGGAACATCAGAAGACAGTTCTGAATTAAACTTGCGGAGAAATATAAGGCAGGTTTATGATGAAAAGCTATACCACGGTCTTAGCATTTCACAACATGTTCATGTTGCTACACTTGTTAGCGTTGTGGTTTCAGGATATCCAACTGCTGGTAAACCAGATAAACTCACTTTACAAGTGCACCATAAATGTTTCCATCATGGTCTTATGTTAAAAGCAGGGTGCATATGGAGTCTTAAGGAATTGGATCAGGAGGTTTTCACCAAGAGAGAACAAATAGGCAGATTTCTTATAGAGCTGAGCTGTGTAGATTGATTATCAGTCAGGTCTGGTTTATCTGTCTCTCTTACCAGTAGTTTTGTTTTTTTTTACACTGAAAATAGGTCTCAGAAATCCTTTTTTCTTGACAGAAAAAAGCCACTTCCATAATGACTCGGTATAACTGTCGACACATTTTTGAAGTGAGTTATCTCAGGGGAATAGTAGATCAGACACAGGGAACAATCAGCAGTGCCTGTGCATACAGGCTAGTAAAATGTATAACATAGATATTGTTCAGCTGAGAAAACAGTGAAGAATTATTGAATAGAAAATCGAGAAATAAAGATTTTCTGAATTAACAAAGCAACCTTCAAGAGAATTTTGAAATTAGATTTTGAAAGTGTGAATTTAAGTAGCTTCAATACGTTTCTGACAGTTTAACACCGTTCTGCGCCTCACCCCCATTTTTCAAAAACGATTTTATTTACTGTCAGCGTTAAAAAGAAGAGGACAAACAAATGTATTAACGGTATGTCACCACAAGGTGTACCATACGTAAGTGGCTCTTTGCGTTCTTTTAAATTTAATTTAAAATATTTTTTGGTTCTCCTGTAAGAGCATAATAGAACTCATATAGCCAATAAATTTTTTTTAATTTATTTTAAACGTTTACCCGTGTGGAAAAAAAAATCATATACCAACACTTGATGCTAAAAGTTTGCAAAGTAAAAGCACTCAAAATAAAAATACTTTTTGGAGAGGCATATAAATTATATTTATTTTTTTAGAGCATTGTTTTTGAAAAAAAAAAGCTTAAAAAGAGAGAGAGAGTTAGAAATTGTTTAACTAGTTCAGGTCAGACAAACTGGTTGGTACACAATGAAAACAACAACAATCTGTTCCTGGACGTACTTATGAAAAATGCTCCAAATTGACAGACTTAGATAAATTTGTTAGTACTCCTGGTAAAAATTTGCATACAGCCTAAAACTAGAATTTTTTTAGGATGATACAACACAGAAAAATGTAAGAAAATTCAGCATTTAATTTATGGTCGTCCACAGTCATCCTAATCTCTGCTCTTGGGGTCATGGCAGTATCCTATTCTTCAATGAATAGGATACTTTTCGCATCAAAAGGAGTCATTTGAGGTTGTTCAATCCATTTGATGGGGATGGCTCTTGGGCATTGGGGGTTTTATCAGGCACGTCCCACTGAGAAGTGATTCTGAGGCAGATCCAGAACAGACTGGAAGGACCATTTATCCCTTTTGGTTATGTCGATCGCCTCAACATCGATTAAATCCTTTATGACAAGTATTTTTTTAATCGAAATAATATGGATCATATCCTAAATATACCCGTATTTTCTCTTGGTAACTCCTCTGTTCCAACCTATTTAGGGAATTAGGGTACTCGCTGTGATGCATTTTCTCTGTTTTGAACAGGAGAAATCCACTTCCAGACCACCATCTGAATTTCGCACGTCATCCGGGTCACAAAAAGCAATCACTAAAGGAATATTTCACAGTTTTTAGGGATTTTTAGCACTTTTCATCTATATTTATGAACTTATTTTTAACTTTTATTGTAAAATAAGACATGAAATCTATTTATACTTTTTAATCTTGTTGTAGAAGAAGATATTAAATCAACATCTATTCATATTTACTTGTGTTTTTAACACTGGGTTATAAGTGTCTTTATTCCTTTTACACATATGAACCAGCCTCACATTCAAACCTCTGCTTTACTCTGAATTCAGAAACAACACTTGCCTCAGACACAAACACTCTTGCTTTAGCGCAGTGTTCTCAGTTCCAGTCCTCAGGCCCCCCTGCTCTGCGTGTTTTAGATGTGCCTCTAATTGAAAAGTACTGCTTTAGCGTGTTCAGTCTGCAGAATTACACAGTGTCAACTGCAACAGGTTTCTGCTCTCCTGATTTATCGGGTCGACCCTCTGAGTTGTATCTTCAGTGAACAGTACTCCAAATCCATAAATCCTTCACAAAAAACAGGCGGAAACACCAAATTCTTAAGATCAGTAAATCTTCCCTACATCTGCATGCGAAGGATTAAACCAGCACAAAAAGAGTCAGTGAGGTAAAATTTGTCAGATTTATTGAATACAAAGATATATCTGAGATCTCAGAACATCTGATGGCAAAACCCAAAGTGATCAGAGACCTTTCCCCCAACAACAGTTTTTATCCAGAGAACAAATACAATAACTAATTACCAATTACAATAACAATAACTTTTCCCCTAGAATCTGTTCAGCTCTTCCCTCTTTAGGTGGAATGTCTGTTTTCCTGAGCTGAAGCACAAAATAAACTTTTAGGAACTAACCTTCACCTGTCCTCACACTGTTCTTCAGCAAATAGTTATCACAAAACACCTGAATATATTAACTGCTTAAAAGGTTAAATATCAAAATTAAAACATGAATTTGCCCACATGAAAATCATTAATTACATTATAAAAAATAACAGCAATGATTTTTATTTATGTTCTTTTTTTCCAGTCATATTTTCACCATGTTATTCATACATTTATAAATGTCAGTGTTCCAAACTAAATATTTAATTCAAAGGTTAGCTTGGACAATAAATATTTACTTTTAAAATGAAATATTTAGTTTGTAAACTAAACACATTGCTGAGATCATTTTTGCTCACATATTCTATAAAATCCACATTTTTAATACATCAGTTCCTGAAAAATGGAAATAATAACAAAGAGATGAAGAAAAAAACAAGACGTCTCACTTTGAGTCATTTTAAAATCAGATCTGAACTCAGACGAAAGAGTCAGATGTGAAAGATTAATGCTGCCCTGCTGCTTCCAGCAGCCTGGTGATGAATCTGAAGCTAAACACAGATGAAGAAGTCTCCAGATGATAAGATTGTCTCCGGTTTCCTCTTTAAAACTCACAGTTTCAATCTGATCAATAAGTTTTTATTTGGACTTTGTAATCTTCATGCTAAGATCATCAGAGCTGCTGCTTGATCACTGAGATCTTCATCGGTAGGATCTTTAATGTTTTATTAATTTCAAAATATGGAACCATCTTTTTAGTGAAGGTGTGTGTGAAGGTGTGTATGTGTGTGTTGGTATCCAGATCAGAGAAGGACAGCTTTCCTCTGTCCCAGTCCAGATTCACTCTGATCCTCTGGAGATTCTTCTGGACTGAGAGAACTTTGGAAGGAGCTGATGGAGAACGTGCAAAATATTTACCTGAAGAGAAATCTATAACCAACAGTCCAGACAGTATGAATCCCTTCCTCTGAACAGACTCTTCTAACACACCAAGTCTCCAGAATAAACTGTCTCCAGCATCAACATCCCAGCTGTGGTTCCCTGAGTTAAAACCCTCAGAACTCAGAACAGACCAAGGTCCATCAATCCTCTCTGGATTATCAGGAAGCTGTTGTTTCTCCCCTCCCCTCCCGTTGGTCAGATCTTCAGACAGATGGAGTTTTGGACCCGCCGTGTTTGGGTCCAGAACCAGAGGAGTGTAGGTCACCATGTTCTCCATGTTGCTCCAGATGTTGAAGGCCAGGTTGCCCAGATGTTTGGCCTGGTCTATCAGAGCTCCTGAGGGCAGCTGTGGATCCTCCAGCAGGGGGCAGCGCTGGACTCTTTCCACTGCAGCCTTGTAGTTGTGCAGGAATGAGACGTCTGCAGCTCTCAGCTCCTCCTCTGTGGCTCTGACTGTGTCTGAAAGAGCTGCTATCTCTCTGCTCAGAGCCTCCATCTTCTCCTTCATCATCCCTCTCTTCTGCTCCTCTTCCTCCCTCAGTGCAGCCAGCCTGGCCTCCTCTTCCTCTGCTAGAAACTGATGAAGCTGCTTAAACTGCTCCCTAATCTGCCTCTCTGTGTGTCGGGCCTGGACCTCCAGGTGTTCTGCTGTCTGATCAAACTCCTCCTGAACTTTCTTCCTGAGCTCCAGCTTCTCCTTTAAAGGCTCCAGAGTTTCCTGAAGGCTCTTCTTGTGTTGCTGAGCAGCTTCATTAATGGGTCTGAATCTGTGGTTTTTGTGTAAATCTGAATCTCTGCATGTGTGACACACTGGCTGCTGATGGTTCCGACAGAAGAGTTTGAGTTTCTCAGAGTGCAGACTGCAGAGATCTTCTGAAGCTCTATGCTCTAAGATAGATTCATTCAGGTTTTTCAGAGCCAGATTAGGAAGTGGTTGCTCCATTGAAGATCTCCTTTTACAAACTGGACACTCTCTTCCTGGTTTCTCTCTCCAATTTTTCTGCAGACACTCCTTACAGAAGCTGTGGCTACATGACAGAAGAACTGGATCCTTAACTATTTCCTGACAGACCGGACAGGAGAGATCATCATCTGATCTGGAAGCCATTTTGTCTCAGAGTGAAGCTGAAATCACAGCAGACAGAACGTCAAACCAGGAAATCAGTTTCTCACCTGTGGAAACCTTCTTAACTTACTTTCACTTTGATTTGCTTGTTTCTCCTCCTGTAGCAGTCTGTGTTTCAGTGTATAGTAGTTGGGTTCTCTGTCTGTTCTCCTTGTTCAGTGTTAGTTTGATTTCAGTCAGAGACAAAGGCAGATGTCAAAGGTGATCCTCGGGGTGTTTACTCAATGAGTTTTTTCTCTCTGAACTGCTTCCTGTTTTTTCCCAGGTGTTCCTGTTGGAATCAGTCTTAAGGCAGAGATGTGGTGCCCTCTAGAGGATTTAATCTTAGTCTTCAGTTTTAGAAAAACACTACAGCTTCTTCTGATTCATGAGTTTGTTTCTACTTGAAGTGAAAATATATTTTTCCTCTCATAAAACTCTTTCAGGGTTTCCTTCTGTTTGCTGTTTTTCTGTCAGATTCAGACTCTGGAGTTGAAAATGGTGTTTGGTGTTGAGGAAAATGTTTCCTATTTTCAAAACAATTGGATCAAGAATCGGATTTGATCAATGCCCTGACATTTTTTTTTCAAACTGTAGCTGACAAAAACTGTAAATATTTCAAACTGTAAATATTGACAAAAGAACTTTAAATGTAAACCAAAAATAAAATCAGAAAAGAAGAAAAAAATTAAGAAAATAAAAACAAAAGCTGTTGCAGTAAAAGAAATACCCTCTAATGATTCAGTGTCTCCTCCTCCATCCATGCTGGCAAAGAGAAACACAATCATTGCTCTCTGATTGCAAACTGAAGATTTCAACCTGAACAATGCGGGACATCTGGAATCAATTTGTTCAACAGCAAAAGGCTAACGGCTCAAGGCTAACAGCTTATTTGCCTTTAATGCTAAGTCATATTCATAAAAGTTATAAGGGACATTTTAAAAGCTGCAGACATATGACAGCCAAACATCCATCCATTTTCTTTACACCCTTGTCCCTTAATGGGGTCGGGAGGGTTGCTGGTGCCTATCTTTCAGGAAGAGCCCAGCCACCCTGCAGAGGAAACCCATTTCGGCCGCTTGATCTCGTTCTTTCGGTCATGACCCAAAGTTCATGACCAGTGGCGCAACTGCACATTATTCAGGTGGATGCGAAAACATAAATCGGCGCCGCCCCCCTCCCCCAGGGAAGGAACGTCAGGGTAAAGCTCAACCCCCCATTTACCTCTTATATGTGAGAGGTGAAGGAGCGTGAGGCGCGCTGAACTGTATGGGAAAACATAATCGGCGCGTCGCCCCCTCCAGACGGGGTTTTGGCGCCCCCTCTGGTGCTGCGCCCCTATGCGTTGCATACGCTGCATACCCACTTTTTGCGCCTCTGTTCATGACCATAGATGAGAGTGGGAACGTAGATCGACCAGTAAATCGAGCGCTTCGCTTTTTGACTCTGCTCTCTCTTTACCACAACGGACCGGTATAGCGCCCTCTTCATGGTAGATGGTGCACCAATCTCCCGCTCCTTTCTTCCCTCATTCGTGAACAAGATCCTGAGATAGCTCCTCCACTTGGGGCAGGACATCCCCCCTGATGTCCTGCCCCTGAAGAGCCTGCCGTAATGCGACCTGTATCCGATCTTTTCATGACAGTGTGAACAGTACACGTCGGATACGTATTCGAATCCGATTCAAATGTGACCTAACCTTCAGGTCGCATTCATCCGAATTGAACGTCCTTCATACACGACAAATCCCACTATTCTGTGCCCTGATATGCGCAAGCGGGAAGAAAAACAACCATGACGAACTATATGAGGATTAAGTTGTTAATATGCTGCTCCGGTCGATAACTTCCAATGTGTAAGCTAAGCTCCACCGTTAGCCTCCATGTTTACTTCCGCAAACACTGAGCACTACTTGTTCTTTTTAAAGAATCATGAAGCAGTTTAAAGAACTTTTTTTTTTTTAAACAGACATAATAAAAAATTTTAAAAGTGTTTTTACACCTTAGATCTATATCCTACAAAACCTCTGTGCACACAGATAAAGAAAAGACAGAATAATACTGTATTAAGATATTGTAAAAGTACCTTATTGATGGTAATAATTGTGCATCTGGTGACTGACTTTTTGTCCTTGATTGTTTTTCCTTTTTTTTTTTACTCAATGAAATAATGTGCTCAAATTTAAAAATAGACATTTCAAAAAACTTCAGTGAGATTTTGCTTCAAAGTGTAAATTTTAAGAGTTTTTTTTTAAATAACATTACAGCGGTCAATCTTGGATTCAGGAGGAGCAGTGTGGTTTTTGTCCTGGTCATGGAACAGTGGATCAGCTCTTCACCCTCAGCAAGGTGGAAGTTCGCCCATGCATCTCAATTTACCAAATAAATCGAGATTTATCGGGTTTGATTTTTTGTGAAGCTTGATGTCTTTACCAATCATCTGTCTCATACTTTATTGTCACAGGGTAGTGGCTGTTTTAACACGTATGTAAAACCGATCTGCACATTGGAATATGAATGTGGGTGCGCCTCTTTCAACAGTTGCTATTCTTAGAAGAATATCATTTCAGTTCTGTCCAAAAATTGTGAGTTTATTGATAGTATGATGACAGCCAAAAGAATGGTACAACCAGAGTTTAACTCTTTGATTTATTCTACTTCCACAGTTTAAGTCTACCATAATATTGGAATGACAAGGTATACTTGTGTATCCCAAATTAACTGTACCACGTTGCAATCACACTTGCATAACTTCTCAAACTCTTTAAAAAATAAAAAAAGTGAAGATATACATTAATGTTAGTAGAGAATTCTTCCTCACTTGTTTTTCTTTGTTTTTTTTCACAATTATCAACTGCAAAACACACAATAAATTAATAAGTTAACACACAAGCAGTCTGCAAATGCTTTACAGTAGTAGCAATAACAATGGTTTTCTTAAAAAAAAAAAAAAGATCATTATCAGTACAGTACGTCATCGGTCTGACAGTAGATCTGAGCATTGTTTTCAGTCTCGAACTGCCAGGCTGTCACTGAACATAACTCAGCTCAATCTACCACAACATGTACAGAGCTCCCCTGCTCACAGCGAGTATCTCCAGATAATAAATTACACCTCCACTTCACTTCAGAGACTGAAAGGTAGACAAGCTCTTCTTCAATCTTTTCTCCCCTCTTTGTAAATCACAGTTCATCTGGGAATGTTATCACCCTTACCAGCCATCCCAAATTTAGGAGTGGTTCTTGAAAAGCCTATTTTGGAATTCAAAGCCGAATTAAATACAATCTACAACACATGTTTGCTAAATTTAGCCTCCATTTATATATAACACTTGGTTATGTGAATCAATAATAATAAAAATGATTAAAAAGATTTTGAAAAAAAATTAAAAAGTGTAGAAAAACATAAGCAGTAAATATTAATTGATAACACCATCCAGCAACTGCACGGCCATACTTTTCTTAATAAGTGGTTCCAGCCCACAATGAAATACTGGACTTCACTTCAGGTAGAAACTGATCACTCAGTTGTTCTGAATACAATGTGGTCCTGGTCTGAACAAAATAATCAATAATCAAACTCCTCCACAGCAGGAACTACATTCTAAAATAAAATGAAAATATAAGGCAAATTAGAGAAACACAGAAGTATCTGAAATTAACTTCTTAATTTTATACAAATATCATTACTGATGAGTCCCTGTGTTAATGTAGCACACTTTTTTGTACCAGACAAGTGCAACAAATTTCAAACAGTCAACAAGATGCACTTAAATATGTCATTATGTTAATAATTTACATATAATTAATGTTCAGAGATGTAGTGTGGGAAATGTTAGGTTTGATGCCAATGCTGTGAATTATTGACATATACTACCATTCATCTATAAGTTGTGTAATGCAGCACCTCTTGCTTTATTTTTACTTCCACCTACTAAGGTTTCTTGGTCAAGGTTTCACATGCATGGAGCTGCATGTGAAAATACATTAAAGGGAAAATATATTTTATAACCATAAAACCTCTAAATATTGGAAGTATGGCATTTTGTCTTTGTAGCCACTTGGAAACATGAAGTGAGTACCATATATGGATGATGATGTTTCAGGAGAGACTGATGGAGAATTGTACATATGATGCAGACTGTTTTCTTGATTAACAACACATGGATGTGTGGCTGCCTAATGGCAAGCAAGAAAAAAACGACAAAGGGAGCGCTTTTGCTTGAACCACCCAAACTTTAGGGAAGAGGACTTATCATAATTCATGCCATGGCCATGAAAAACAGGCTTGAGCAGGTAGTTAACAGCCAGACCACCAAGGCAACTACAGCTGTTGTTTGTGAGCATAAAGTTCTTCAGGCAATTTAGTGGTTTCTTTACAGTAGCTTTTACTTTTTATGTGTTCTTTGTCAGTGCAAGGCATCTTCTGATTTCCACAGATTGGGCCAAATCAAAAGCAATATTTTACAAACGATCTGTGTGTTTACCTGAAATAACTAGCTTCATTTGTGACTCGAGTTTTCTCTCCGTCTGAGAAAACTGAAGGTGACGGTATTTGATTAGAGCTGCAGTCTGATTCTATATCACATCCAGTTACCTCACTTTGGTGCAGTTGAACCTTCATGACTGATTATGTGGAGAAAAATGAGACTAGCATAACTACTGCATAGCCATATTCTGGTTACACAGATTTTTTTTATTAAATGTGCCAACACATGGTTGGGCACATCAGAGTAACTAGTTCATCAGAACCGCAACAGAAATTGCAATATCAATCTGAATCCAGCATCATAAGTTTTGACTTTTGAAATGCAGTTATTTAAATCTTTCTATAGAGAGCCCATATTCTTTTAGATGTCCTCTACATTGCTCTAGGGCAAAATTTTTCGAATATGTTTCTATATGAATGTTGGCTTTATGAATTAAAATACAAGCTGGATAATTTGCTGCAGCTCTTTTTCTTTGGCATCTCAAATAGAACATTGTCACTTTCTTTGATGGGTTTTGACTTTTGTTCAATTTTGTTTTGTTTCGCTCTTTTGTACAAATTCTAGATTTCAGTCATGGACATGAATAAACCTAAACTAAGTTACATGTCTTAACTCACTGAAAAAGCTGCAACAACAATGATATATACCCTTCAAAACCCTACAAGTTTTTTTTTCTTCCTTTCATTAGTTCTGTTCATCTGAACACCAATAACTTGATAGCAACACGGAAATGATTGGACTGCCATCCTGAGCC